TGTATAATTATGTGAAATATCTGAAACAGTAGTCAGAAATACTTTCCTACAGTAAAAGAAAAAAAATAAATGTAAAATTATAACCTTTAAAAAACTACAAATTAGGTAAGATAATTTGCAAAGAGTATGAGAGTATTTCTCATTCGATTATGGTATCCAATATGCTCAGATGTCAAAATATTTCATAATACAAAGGTTAACTGAGACATTTGAACATGATAAAGTTATTATTATTAAAATAAAGTGTTTAAAAGCTCAATTAAAGCTTTACAGGAGAGAGTATTTATAAGGAAACTTATAAAAGATTAAGTTTTCAAAATGTAAAATAATAAAAAGCAAGTTTTCAAGTAATAATGCACTGCTTTCTAGGGAAACTGCTTCCAATGCTAAAAGATGACAATGAAGAAAATAAGAACAAATACTTTACACTAAAGAAGAAACTGTGCTCTGAAATGTCAGATTAAACAACATTAACAACCATATTTGTATTAACATTTAAGGCTATAATTATACACTAATAAAAATTTAACCTTATATAAAAATTTAGAAGCAGTTTTGTTTGATCAGTATGAAATGAAGTTGCAACAAGATTTATGCTTCACGTGGAATTTTTATTTTCATCTTCTCTTTAAGAGTTATTATATTATTACATTAAAGCATATAAAATTTGTAGTCAGCACAGCGAGCTTCAAATCACTTTAGTTAATTGGCAAGTATGGTGGAGCATGAAGCATCATTCTTTGCTGGTAGTTTCATTTTAAACAAATCATGCTCACATATAAAAATAGCAAACTGCATTAAATTTGATATAAGACATTTTACAGCTTCTCACATAGGAAAAGCTATTAGCCTCTTTCATGGACTATAGCAGGGAAAGCAGCTTTGAGAAAACTCTTTGGGAAGGCAGTATTCACAGGGGTGCAAGATACAGCCTGATCGACCTCATGCTTGAAATGTACTAATGGAAGCTACAGGTTTAAAAAAAATAAAGAAACCTGCTCAAAAGTCTGAATATTAAGTTCTGATATTTTTTATAGTGTCTCTGCTGAAAAAGAAAGCATTTTCGTTATTTCTCTTAGTTCCAGTTCTTTAATACTCACCAAAAATCTTAATCCTAAAACTTCAGACATACGCATATTAATTTATTCTTACTTTCTAAAATGAAGATGATGGCAGTGACTAAAGCCTTATAAATATTATTACTAAGCTTTTAATTTGTATTCAATAATTGTTCATTTACTTTACATACTATCAATTTTAACTTCTGATTTAAGGTACAAAGATGCTTTCTGTCTAATTTGTCATGAAATTGCCTTTAAAAGATTAACACAGCTATAAATACAGAAGACATGTTTTTAACAGATACAGTTCTGGGTCTTGACATATTGATGGACAGATCAACTTCAGCATTTCAGTCAGAAAGCATGGTAGAAGTTTTAAAAAGTCAATCCTTCCCTTCCTCTATCTAATAAATTTCTAAGAGAAGAAAAGAGTCTGACAAATGGGTAAATTTTGTCAAATCAGATATGAACATTTTCCATTCTATGTTAAAATATAAAAATATACCAGAAGAGTTGTGTACAAATTGAAGAATATTTTTTCTTTTCCTTTTTAAAGATGTAGCTAATTATGCCACAAAGGGCAAAACATTTTTGAAAAAAAAATTATCAAAATTATGGTTTCTGCAGTCTTTAAGAAAGTATCTTATAATATAAATTATTTTATTTTCAAACAATGTAATACCTCACATCATTATTCAAAGAACTTATAAAAATGTCATTATCACTTCTCAAAATAATGAAAAGAAAAGCCCAAAAACATCAAGATTCACTGCTCAAAATTAAATATATAGTGTTTTTGTCTTACTTCTTGGAGAGAAAAGTTTTTTGAGAAGTTGAATATCATTGGCAAAAATATTTTACTGTTCTTTCTTCATAAAAGTTATCTAGCCTGAGATAATGCTAATCACCAATAATTTATTAGTATGGCCAACTGTTTCTTTATCATTTTCCATTTTTTTAGTCATCTAGTCATTCCAGCAACTAAATACAAATCTAGAACTTACATATGTCCTGTTTAGTGTCTCAAAGCAATTATATAATATTCAAGGACCCAAAACAAAAATAACTCTTTTTCTGGAATTTCAATAGTTAAACTTTGACGGAAAGAAAATATGCTGAACTTGAGGGAAAGGAGAAAAATTATTTTGAAACCCAAGAAAGTAGCTACACGATACTACTTGTGCACCGAACATATTACTGATTTTATGAAATTAAATTAAAAAATTAGTAGCCACAAAACCTTAATTTTAAAAATCTCCATTACACATTAACTATTTCATTCATATTTTTCAGAACAAAGTAAGTGTGACAATTAGCAGTGACTCGAGTTTCTTAGACACCATTACACAGCCCTGTTGCTTTTATTTTTCTTATTTAATTTCAACCATTGCTTAAAATATACCTATCAGACAGCGAACATTTAATAAGCATTTTAAAGTGACTGTATGTAATCAAAGAAATTGTTTTGAAAATAAATTTGATTGTACTTGTTGATTTAACCTATAGAATTAGATCGTTCTAATTTGTGAGAAACATATGTAAATGTCTATACAAATTCCTCCCGACACATGCCTTCCACATCAACCTAAACACCACACTTGGTGGCATAATCAGTGGCACACAACACACCATGTTTAATACACGCACCAAATTCTCTATCTTACTTCTACCAAGTTTGAATGGTGCTGAAGTTGCCAGAGGTGTCGCATCATCTACAGCAAACCTTCAGTTCTAAATAAGGGCGAAGCTGGCTGTTAATAACTTAGCTTGAAATGTTAACAACCTTCGGCTGTTAACATAACAACTAGCCATTCATGGGGTAACGACCAATTTAAGAGGAAACTGTATTCTGAGAAATGAATGTATGAGCAATCAGGACCAGGGTTTATATTTGAAAAAAGTATAAAATATTTGTACTAAGTTAGCTGGCATTAAAAGTTGGAGCCTAGCAGAAATGAACTAAAAACCACACCCCAAAGGTGACACCCATTCTGTTAGATAAGGATTTCTAAGGGAAATAGGGATTTCGAACAGAGATAAGGATTTCTGATATGAAAAGTAGCCTGATTAATTCCCTTCAGCAACATACTTGAGACCATCAAATACCAATTTCATTTCATATTTTTACTATCCTCAGGAAGACTAAAAGAAACTTTAGATTACTATATTCTGCTCATGGCTTTATTAATAACCATAAACCTGGGTCTTCCAGGCAACAGTCCTTTAGTAGCAAATTTATATTTTTGATTTTAAAACTCGATATATTTCAAGCAATTCCTTCTAAAATTTACTTAGTATTTTTTTGTTGTTGTTGTTGTTTATTAAACTATCTTAACCTTACTCCGATTGCATCAATGCTTTGTTTAGGATTGCAACGAGTTAACACACTTAAATTGTTAGCAAATGTACAAGTCAAAAGGGGTCAAGAAGCTGTGACTACTGCCTAGCATGCATAAAGCTAGGCCAGACAGAGGTGTTAAGGTATGAAACACAAATACAAATGCTTTATGTGGAAATGAGGCTTCAATTCACCAGCAGCAGAGGAAAAGTTTTTATTTCAAAGAGAAAAGTTCAAAGACTTAGAGTTCTGAAAGAATCCACCTTCAGAGTTAACTCTGATTGATTAGTAGTGCCGCCTTCACGAGGGCGCCCTGGCTGGTAAGGGTCTCTTCTCATTGTTGGCACCCTGTGTGCATTTTTCTCACTTAGAAGACAGAGAAGTAGTAACAAGTGGCCATAATTATTCAGGAGGCTGTCACACCAGGCAGCTCTAAGAGGGGAAAAGTAGGAGCTGATAAACTACTGGATTCACCCTCTTGTAACTACCATTAATCAAAAGATGTATTTTATATATAAAGATCAAATCTGACTTTAAATAACTGAATTATAGACTTAGACGGCTCCCTAGAAAACACCTCCCAGAATGACTAAGATGGTTAAGGAATAACAGCTGATTGATAAATTTTGTGTCATAAGGGGAAAAATTCAAAATAAATAGCTTAATGGCAGACAAGAAAAATGATTAATTGTATCAAATATGAAACCGCAAATGATGCCATATATCATTTCTCTAATTTGATAGATCCTACTTTATTAATATAAGTCATTTGCATCCGAATCAAGTCACAAAGTTCTCAGAGAAGCAAAATAATTGCCCTTTAGTAGAAGCTCTATGTTGAAAATGCTGGGAAACAAGTTTGGGTGACTTTGTGGCTTTATTGCCATTGGCCTGCACTATCTTGAGACCGTCCAGAGGTTTGCAGTGTGCAGTGGAGGTATCATTGCTCTATAAAGGTAGAGCTCTTCATTCTGCTATCATCCACTGAGACATGTGCGGCTGCTCCACGTTACACCAGGTCTTCGCAATGACTGTTTCTCATATCACAGGGAAAGACCTACTAATACTTGGGGAAAGTTTTCAAAACCACACAGTAAATAAATTATTTTAATAACTACCAGTTTGGAATTTGAAACTGACCTCCTCTAACAGACCTCAATCAGAAAGGATAGCTGAGTAACTTGAGGAGGATGTAAGGCCCAACCTAAGTAGAGCTTTGCAAAAACATTTAAAAGGTTTAACTGTTTCTTTGTGACGCACTCTACCTTACTTCTAATACTCTAATGAAAAAGGAACAGAAACTTAGATACTGACTCACACCACACACTGGCAGTTTCGATCTAAGTAGTAAAAGAAGTGACTGTTGAGTATGAGTTTGCATGCAAGTTAAATCCAAACAATCGAGGCAATAATTTTGCTGAGTATTGCTGAAGGAGCAATTCAGGTAAGACACACGAGGGCAACATGTTGAAGGCAGACAGGACAACTTCTTTCGGGGACATAAGCTGGCAGTAAGAAAATAAACAGGCAAGAAGAAATGCACTTACAAGTGGATTTTAAAAGGTATCCAGTCATCACTGGTGTGCAAGGAGAATGCCTACCTGAGATAGTCTCTGCGACAAAGGATAAGATTAGCTTTAGTGTACAGGGTGGAGCCCACCTCTCCCAAACGACAGTCACAGCAGGCACACTTCAGGCAGTCTTCATGCCAATATTTGTCCAGTGCCTTTAGAAGATAGCGGTCCTTGATCTTTCGGTTGCAGCCAGCACAACCTTTCGGCTTGGTGTCTGGCTGGACTGAGAGCATTTGTATACCTGAAGGAGGACAAAAACAGAATAAGAGAGCTGAGACCAGGAGACAGAATGAAAAGATGTCAAAAGACCTAACACAAGTTAAATATTTAATAGTGCCTTTTCCTAGAATCACTGGATTTTCTTTCAGAGAGATAGATGTAATGAAATGAAATCAAAGTAAATTTTGAAAGCAAAATATCTCAAACTACCAAATCCCTACTAAATCATTGGTACAGTCATACATATGAAGTGGCAATAATAAGGACTTCATGTTGTATATGGCACAATGACACTCTACATGTAAAGTTAAATAGCATGCAAACATTTTGTAGTGTCCCTGCTCTTTACATGCAGCAATTCCTTTAGGAAGAAAAGTGAATACATTGCTAACAATCTGAAGAGAAAGCTATTTAACAAAGTAATCATACAGAGACTAAAGGAGTCAAAGTTTTGCTTAACTGTTTAAAGTTTTTACTTCATATGTGCTGGATGGAAGAGGAAAAGTACATTCTATGTGGGATTACATGAACTTCAGTTAGCAGTGCAGATGTCTATAATTACGTACACACCAGAGCCACCCAAAAGCTTAGGAATTGTATCTTGCCTGTTTGCATTCAAAGATTTCTTTATGTGTCCTAGATAGTTCAAAGTATTACTTATTTAAATAACAAAAATATATTCATACTCACAATCATTTAGTGCCTTTATTAAGGACCCAATACTTAACTATATGACTGTAAGCTTTTATAGGAAACTAAAGTACAGGATTATATAATTTATTGCTATAAGCATGCACTTAATATTTTACAGGGGAAAGGTAAAATAATAGAAGGCTGGTGCAATATAAATAAAATTATATAATTATACAAGAATATGTGCAGAAGGCAAAGAATACTGTATTAGATATAGGGAAAATAATAATTTCAAGAACTGTGTCTCTTTCATAAATATGGAGTCTAGCTGGTTCTATGTTTTCTAACTTCAGTGAAATTATTTCAATGGATATTTGTGTTTAAGTTTCTTATTTTCTAAGCATCAAACACTCAGCTTTAAAAAAAGCTGCCCCAAATATTCAGAGTTTCATCTTTATCAAATAAGTCATTTTAAGTGCTATAAAATATTGCAGACATCATCAATTTCAAATACCCTCATTTTCCAAATTATACTGCAGAGCCCCAGAGATGTTAAGGCACTGCTGCAAAGCTGAAGGATATTTAAGTGTGGATTTGGAGCCAAGTGGCCCTCTTGCAATCCAGAGATCCCCCTGGTCTTCGTTGCTGCCTCTCCTATGCATAAAGTTTTAAACTTGGATGTAAAAGAATATAAACCACCAAATATGCCTGCAAGTAAAAGTGTCTCAAGGAAAGAAACACCAAGCTATCTTTGTCTATACATCTCTGTTCTCCACAACAGCTAACTCCTTGTTGCCTCTGATATTTTGCAGTGAAGTCCTTACCCCCATTACCTTCAAAGTCTTCTTTTCAAAAATAAAACTAATAACAGGTACCAGGCATCCCCGTAGCTGAAAACTTTTAAAGCTACAAATAATATATGAGTTGCACATTCTAATATTATGTTGTTGAACTTTCATTAGAAAATAACTTGTCTGGCAGAGGTCTGGGGAAGAGAATGCAGGCAAGGAAGCAGGGGGCTGTGCTTTCTGCACGGTATGTGTAGCTGGGGTCGTCAGGGCTGCAGAGAAGCAGTTGGATTTATACAGAAGAGCAGGTGGTATCCCTAAAGCCTGCTTTCTCTTCCTTTTCTTTGAAGGAGCTAAGGGCCTAGTGTAGATTAATCATAACCCTTGATAGCTCTGCTAAATCTCATTCTCTAGAACTTCTAACAAATGAAGTTCCTTTGATCAGGACTAGTTATCCTTTTCTAGCAGGGTTCCACAAGGAATGAATCCCTTAAATTATACTGCGCAATAGATCCAAGTGACTCTTAGCCATGTACCTAGGGAAGAGGAAGCAGGTTTGATTTGCCAAGTGGCATTCTGGATTTCCTTAATAACAACACCTAGAGATATATTAAGAGTAGCCAGTCTCATTACCTAATTTATAAGATTATTTTTTAAATCATAGAAACTTATTAAGAAAATCCTCTTACTATCAGCTAAGGTACAGAGAAGCAAATAGCTAAGCTATTCCCTATAGTTGTGTTACAATTACCAAGTGCAAAAGGTTAGCTATCTTTTCAAAATGCTTTGCAACTAAAACAGGTGATACTAACAGTTGGCACAAGTAACACTGGCCTGCTTGTGGTCACAAGATGCTTTTGTTGTGTTGACATTTTAATTTAGCACTCAGAGGCCAATTAATATTTGAAACTCTTGCATTCTATTTGGCCTTGGGCATATGAAAGGAGTTTAATATTTTACTCTCCACCCTCTGTCTTATTTTAGAGAATATCAGCTCATGTCTCTTGGACATGGAACCTTTGCAATGCTGTACAAGTCAACAGTTGCAGAAAAAGAATTATTGTGTAGTCCCCATGCTGCCTTGTACCTGAAAGTCTGAAAGCAGGCAGTGGGCTCCCGTGATCCTGCGGAAGAGCATGTCTGGGGCGAGTTAGGTCTGCGCGGCTGAGAAACATTTCACAAGTTGCTATGGCACACCAGGACTCATAACTAGTTTTAGATTGGCATGTAAATTGTTCAGAGGGAAATTCTTATTGCCTCTGAGACCCTGCCATTCTGAGTTATTTGACAGTTTAAGGGAAATCATAATTAAAAAAAGAGACATAAATAATAGCCTGTGCAGTGTGGTGTGCAGAAATAAGTGGAACCATTTCATTTAAACTCTGGTGAGCTTTTAATTGCCTGGATTGCATTGTGAGGCGGCCTAACGGTTGATTGCTTCCATTATATTCCCTTGTTCTGTGCTGTTCATCCGCACAGTCGAAGCTTCAGTAGTTAACACAACAAAGTAACCACAACTCCACAACACAGAGGGTTTTAGAAATAATAATAATAATAATAATAATAATAATCATAGATCTACAGTGCCTTGCCACAGTCTTTTATATTTTTTGGACAAACTACATAGAGTGAATGGAAAACATTTTGTCCCTGTGGAAAGATCCACAGAGGACAATTTGGGAGAAGGCACAGAAAGAGGGCTACATAAAGGAGACTCTGGGAGAGACGGGTGCCTCCAAAACATACTAAAACGGGAATGCAGGTCTGCAGCTGGGAGCAGTGGCACAGATTAAAAGAATTTGGCCAACACAGCTATTCGATTGCCAAGAGGTACCAAACAAAAGATTTTCTCTCCTACTGCCCATCTTCCTCCTACTGCCCCAACCCCCCTGCAGCCGGATTGGAAAACTGGATTGGGCCTAAAAGCTTGTTTCTCTCTGTGCACTGGCCCAAAGCGTCCCTACAGGCTGCAGCCCCCTAAGGGACAACAATGCAAATAGATGTCCCCAGATCTCTGGCACAGAAGCTGCTTAACTCTGTTCTGCCCCTTCAACTCCCAGCCCCCCACCCCATCCTGTAGCCACCCCCCCCCTTTGAGCAATGGAGCTGGGAACCAATTTGATTCCCTTTTTCTCCAATGCAGCTGCAAGGCTCAGAGATACTGACATTTTTCCACTCTTATCAGTTTAATTACAGTTACCATGGCAGCAAAGTGCTAGTGCTTGGCAAAGGCCAACAAGAGATTTGCAAGACTGAGTTCAATTTTGATGCAGCTCACATGCAAAATAAAAAAAAAAAAATAAGAAACATACATACACTCTAACAAAGAACCCCTTGCGGAGTTTATGCTCCAGCCTTTTGTGGTTGTGTCTTTCCAGCCACACAGGGGTGGATCGCAAAGAATGTAGCAGCATTTGTTGCACCTAGCAAGATTAATTGGTTGAAGCAGCAGTCTTTCAAAGCAGTTACAACAATAATATTTTGGATCTTTTAGAAAGGCACAGAAAGCAGCCGAAGAGCAGGAAGGCTTTCGAGCAGCCAGCAGTGCAGAGCGCCGGCAAAGCGCATCTATGATAGATCATAACCTTACCAAAACTTTTCTCCCTTTTCTGCATGAGTTGACTTAGGCGTGCCTGAGTTGCTGCGGCTTCGCATTGAGCACCAAGCCCAAAGGTAGAAGTAGAACGGAGTCTCCTCGATTCGGCTCAAGCGTGGACTTGATACGCAGCCTACACCACCGAGGACCGACTACAGTGAAGCCACTTTGGGAGAGGGTCGGGGTGGAGGCAGGGGGTGGGGGAAGGGATGAGGGCGGTCGGACAAGACAGAGCGCACAAACGGAGCCCCTCGCAGCGTGGCAGTGTGCAAAATGATGGCGAATGACAAAGCCACATGCTTCCCTAACTCTGCCCGCAATCCTAAAATCCCAGCGGCCCTTTTTAGCTTCCTGGTAACAAATGGATTTGATTAAACTGTCACATGCAGCGTTAGCATAGCATATCATGTTCAATATGAAAAAGATCATAAATCTGACTCGTATTTCATAACAGCAGTCTGAGTAGCCCCTGTACCAATGCGCTGCCTCAGTTTGAATCTCAACCTATTAGCACATGGGCGGGCGCCTCCTTCCACGGAACTGCTCTGCTCCGGCCCTTTCACACCGCCCCCCTCCAGCATAGTCACTTTTCCACCACAACAGAACCACATTGTGTCCTTGTGGCCGAAGAGGGAAGAGGCAGAAGTGTCCCCAACAATCGGAAGCTGGTAATCTCAACTCTTGGGTGGGGGCAGAGATTGGAGCGAGTATGCATGGGGGGTCCAGAGGAACACCTAAAACCGACCTCACGTCCCACGTTTCCCACTTGCAAACTCTCCCTGCCCCTCTATCCCGGGGAGTCAGGGGTGCAGAAATGCTGCCGTTCCCGGTGAACTTTGACTATTAGCCACCGAGTCCTACTTGAGAGGTTCCGCGCTGCAACCGCTCTCGCTGCTTCCACTAACATCTTCCGCCTGCGTCTCTTTCATGTCTCATCATAAAAATAATGAAGCCTCACATGATTTAAACAAAACCGTCTCAGTAGAGATGCAGCCCGAGTGAAAGTTGCAGCGCCGAGCTGGGTTGCAGCTCCAGTTTATGCCTCATTAGGAGAGAGGCTCGGAAGGGGGAAAAAAAATTACCCGCATCCGCACACGCACGCGCGCGCCCACACACACACACACACACACACACACACACACACACACCACAAATAAGCCGCCGCGTGTGTACACAGTTGCTACACTTACCTTCTCAATTAAGCAATACAGGGGGAGGCCGTTCAGTGAGCGCAGTGGCTGCTTTGTAGCGCTTCTCCTTGGGAAAGGTCAAAAAGAAGCATTGTTTGAAAAAAAGAAGGAAAGGGAAGCGAATCTCTATTTTTTTAAGTTTAAAATAATGAGGTCCTTCAGGATCCGCCAAGTAATGGTGTTGACCGCATCCGAGCCACAGGTGTCCTCCTTTTGGGGAACTGCAGTCCGAAGCCGTCTCCCTCCGTCCAGGCTCCAGACAACTAAACCCCAGCAGCGCGCTTGGAGCCAAGCTGGAGGAAGCCCCAGCTCTCAGCTGCAAATCGCAATCCCTTCCCAGCCAGACATAATACAGCCAAAGAAAAGGTCACTCAGTTATTACTGAGCCGGCGGAGCCCAGGCAGCGCTTGTCAAGACCGCAGAGAAGCAGCTCCCTTCCGATTTAAGACTATTTACCTCTCGCCCCCACCCTGCTCTCTCTCTCTCTCTCTCTCTCTCTCTCTCTCTCTCTCTCTCTCTCTCCACACACACACACACTCTGTCGCTCCCTCGCTCGCTTTTGCGTTCCTGTTTTGCAGCTCAGTTAGTACAGCCGCCCTCGGAAGGAAAGTGCAAAGCAGCCAGGAGACAGATCGGGCTTTGTTGCTAATTTCCCAGGGTGAAAATTTACAAGCCTGTGAGTGCAGTCAGCACGACCGCGTACATATGCTCCTCGCAGGCGCTGGGGAGGACCCCTGGGCACAAAATGCGACCTCTGCACGGAGTCGACTTGGGAAGGACCCTACCTCTTGGACCCGTCCAAATGAACTCCTGCGAAAGAGCTCCAAGAAGAAAAGGGTAGGGTTCTTAAAATAATTGGGGCATTTTGGAATAGATGGCCACAGTTAAAGCAAAATTGCTCTCTAAAGCCATTTCTGAAGCGACCAATTAAAGAAATTAAAATAAAAGCAAGGGACTCAAACTACTATAGGATTCAGTGGCCAAAGCACACACACCTCCTTTTTAAGAAACCTAGGGGGCGGGGAGGGGCCCTACAGTCGCCCAGTGTCTGTCTTCCCTTCAGGAGCTCTGAAGTCTGTTCTTAAGTTTGTCACACGAGCAGGTCCAGCGAGGACTCGCAAGTCCCTTCCGCCTTTCTAATGGCCCAGAACCAGCCTGTGAACTTGTTCCCCATAAACCAATGCTGACCCCCTACCTCCACTCCGAAACGTACTTCCTGTGATTACTTGGATTCTTCACTATTTAAAACTTACATGCTTAAGCGAAAAACACTCAAGAGCTCTGAAAACTGTATTTTCAAGGCTATTTGGGATAAAGAGCCCTACTTTCTCCGACCATTGCCATCCTATCATCATGTAAGGCCTTCTCTGATAGTTTTCTTTCTTGAAAGAGGTCCCATTTTTCTTATCCTCCTCTCTTCTTCACTTTGCATCTGTAAAGGCCATTGGTAGCTGTAACATATCTTACTGGTTTTGTAAGTTTTCAAACTTCAGTCATCCTCCCTTTGCCCAGCTCTTAAAAGTCTCCCTCACCAGGCTTTACAAAGCCTTGTCAAAGGTCAAGCTTAAAAATAGTGCAAATCTGAATGACACTGGCTGTCATGTTTTAAAAGGCAAGAGAGACTCAGTTGCTGAACTATAAAAACTTTTTCTTCCCTACATCATCAGTTCTAATCTAATTCTTTTTAAAGAAAAAAAATAAGCAAAGCAGTCCTAGTGAATATTTAACTTTAATTTTGCTCATCTGCATAAAGAATACCAGTCTAGCATCAATAACTTATTTTTTGCCCCCTCCCTTTTCAAGGCCCCTACTAAAATCCTATGTGGTTTGCTTTCCTCTCCCTTTAAAAGGCAAGAAAACTTAGAACTAACCTGAAAAATAACGAAATTCACAGACGACAGGTTAGTAAGAACCCCTTCAGTTGGTTTGCTCTGTACATAAGCAGATTTCTTAAGTTTGGCTTTTCTGGCCCGACTACACAGGCGCACATGCGCCTCACCCATCCACACAGCTCAGGCTAAACTACCCCACCTCTCTGCTGGAGCCACTCTGAAAGCACCCCAGTGTGTGTGTGTGTGTGTGTGTGTGTGTGTGTGTGTGTGTGTCTTCTGTGCTCTCTCTCAGCCAATGTACTGAGAAGAAGAGGGAGGGAGGGAGAAGTATGTGTGGGGAAAGGGAGAAATAAAATCAAAACAAATGGTACAGCTAATGAGGACAATTAAATTAATTATGTTCAAGGAGATGAGATTTTTTTTTTCCTCCAACTGTATGATCTGTTACCCCTCGCTGGCAACCGCTGCTCTGTAATTCATGGCAACTGATTAGTGCATCTATGCAAATCTTTGTTTAAATCATTCAACTAATTAAATGATGGGATTATTCCTCTGCCTACGGTGACATCATTCGCAGTAATTAGTACTCTATTTGGACTGTGGCAGTGAGATTCCCGATATCAACACCAACCTGCAAAGACATTAACCACTTTGTCACCTTTTTTTTTTTTTTTCTTTTTTTGTGAAGGGACAAACATCCAGAGCTCTAATTGCATCCCACCCCCTTTTCCCCTCAATCTTCCTTTTCCTCTCAGTTTTACTTCCTCCACATACATTTGTACTGGCAAACTGGGGATCAAGGGAAGGAAAGAGGGAGAGCGAGAAGGAGAGAGGAAGAGGTGGGGAGGGGAGAGAAAGAGAGAGAGAGAGAGAGAGAGAGAGAGAGAGAGAGAGAGAGAGAGAGGAACTTAGTGAATAATATGCCAAACCACATGTGTAAAGGAATAAAATGGAATAGTTAACATTCAGCTCCATGCCATTCATTTTCCCCTAAAATGTAATGATAATTAGATGGGTCATAAAATGCTCTTCTTTTCATTATGACTGATGAAATGCATTAAAGCTGACAGGGTATTACCTGACAGTAATTAGGTTTTGTCATGAATTAAATTATTGGGAAGCAGGCTATCTCCCCAATCACGCAATTTACAGCAATTTTTTTTTAATCTGTGCTACAGAAGAGAGAGAGAGAGAGAGAGAGAGAGAGAGAGAGAGAGATAGAAAATAGCAGTTTTTCTCTTCATAATCATATGAATTATTCACAGAAAAATATCATCAGAAAAACCCCGTGCAGATGAAGGGGCTTTGCCACTTAATGTACCGCACAGATGTGATCATCCGCGGCTGCCGACAATGAAATATACAAGTGCACACAAAGTGAGCTGGTGAACAAGAGGTGGAATTTAATCATCTTCTGCTGACACTTTGTGAAAAACACCATTAACCCTCAGCGAACCCCCTGTTTTCCTGGCTCCCCACCACCCCAAAGTCTTACCCCTCCTGGCAGAGAAAAAGTGAAAGAAGAATTTGTGGTTTTGTTTACTCAGCCAAGCTAAAGGTTGGATCCAGCCAGGCAAGCAGTTTCTTCATTTCCTGAGAGTAAACTACCCAGTTTAATTACAGATCCTCCGGAAATCTTTGCAAAAGGATTGCCATAAAGAGATCTTTCGCCAGATCTTCTTAGTCTGTCTTTTGCCTGTACTCTGTCTCTTCAACTTATCATACATTTGATGAGAGAATTTACTTCATCCACCCCCCCACACTTATTCAAGAAAAAGGAAAGGCAGAATGTCTTTTACAAGGGTCTCAGATTGTCATACCTTTATGAGGGGGAGGAGGGAGGAGGATGATAGAATGGGGTGGAGGGGATTGTTGAGGGGTGATCCGATGTATACTACTTACCTCTGCTTAAAGGAGATCTCCCACAAGAAAACAGTATGTATATATATGTATCTTTCTAAATATGTCTTCAAGTTTTCAGCTGTCTTTTTCTTTAAAACACACCTCACAGAATACTTTTGTGTGCGGGTGTTCAGTAATGAATTCTGTGGCGTCCCAAAGATGTCTCTGCAAGTTGCCGTCTTTATTTTTAGGGCTGCAGACAGGTGCTGGGGGGAAGGCCAAGGTAGTACACCCTACAGTCCAGGTGCAGTCAAAGGTCCTG